GTCTGCCTGCAGCAGCGGCCCCGTGTTTCACGAGCACCCTGCCCCTGGCTGCAGTGCTGCCCCGGGTTTCGCTACGTTTACGAGGGTCTCCGCTACGTTTACGAGGGTCTCTGCTGCGCCTCATCCCTTACAGCACTAAAACGCTGTTTTCAGGAGGCTGCTACCACCCCCTCCTCCTGTGCATGGTGGTACCGATACACGCAGCTTTGGGGGTTTTTTATTTTTCAGTCTGGGTTAACAACAATACTCATTTCCATAATTTTAAGTATTTCTTGCTCCAAGCAGGCAGCCTCCGCAGAGCTGGATTTAACACCTTGCTTAGCCGTGGGTAAAACTCCCGCAACGGACACACGGTCCAGTTGGGATAACAGAATTTCCCTATCACACAGGCAGCATACGGATAAACACATTAAAGATCACAAAGCATTCGGATAATGCAAAGTGGCATCGGCAAAGCAAAATCCGGCCAATTAAAGAATGATCCAATCTGCCACTAGCGCAGCTTGCAGCAGCGTTCAGGAGTATCAAACCGAGACCTGCCATCGAGGCTTTTTCCCCCAGACGAGACGGGTAAGTACAGGCTTCGGGTGCATTTAAAAGCATCTCACGTTAGACAGCATCCTCAAATTCGGTTGCTTTAATCCAATGAGACTAAGCCCTGCAGTACTCGACTCTGCAATGTCCGAGGCAAACACCAAACTTCTCGGGCACAACATTAACAGAAGGCACCGGAGCGATGCTTCTGTTCAGGACATGTTTTTAATGAGAGTTTCACAGCTTGACATTTGCTGACCACAGCTGAGGTTTGCATAACTCAGCAAGTTTTTCCTAATCACGCAGGCACAACTGGCGGTTTTCAAGCGAGGCATTAAAAAAGAGCACTCCTTAAAAGAGAGAGGCTGGTCTCCGCAACGAAGTCGGTTTGATTAAATCAGATCGCGTTGCTACAAATAGGAAACACCATATAAATGGCCCTACAGAGTTCCCCACAAGTACGATAAATGAGGTAGAATAGTTTCTTATAAGAACAATTTTTGCCCGGTCCCATTTTTTCTACAGAAAGCCCTAGACACAGCAGTTGGGTCGCGCACACTGCGCGTTTGCAGTATCAGACAACAGAACTGTGCCCGTCTTCTGCCATCTACACCGGCGTCCACACCTGCTAGCCGGCCTTTTCCCCAAATGAGCCCAGCACGCTGATGAGAAGCGAGCTGAAGGAGATCTAAGAGACACCACAGTTGTCTTGCTGGCGGGCAAGGAAAACCGATGGAGAAGATGCTCCCGAAAGGAGGGATTTCCGCTTTGGCTTTACCTAACTCTGAAGAACGGCTTTGGCTCTTGGCTCTTTCGCCACCTCCTGGCTGGCTGACAGCAGGCAGCGCCAGCTCGGCAGAGCGCAGGCACGGAGCGCTGCAGCAGCCGCTCTGGCAACGCCGCCGCTGCTGCTGCTGCTGCCCCGGCTCCTCACCCCTCTGCAGCCAAGACAAACCCCAAGTAACTCATCAAGCACCTTGCTGCCTCTGGGATGAAGCTGCAATCAGAGAACTCCACCCACTGAGACAAATGCTCTGCAGCACGGAGAAAGCTTGTTTGCAGGGATTGCAAGACCCTGAGAAAATGAAGTCGGCTGGAACGAATTCCCAAGGGAACTTGGCGATATTGTACACCCCTCTGATCCCTCTGCTTGGCCGCACAAGATTTCCCTTTTCTTCACCTTTGTTGGAAGGTGGGAAAGCAGGGAGTTTAGAAAGCTCCTCCGCACGTTTGACCTCTGTGGAGACAGCGAGATCACAGCACGCTGGGTATGTTGCTAGAAGGTGCTCTGGTACTAACGCAGCGATGGCTGGGGAAGAACCTCTGCATAACAGGGCTCCAGCACCCTACCACCCTCCTCGACGCTGTGTCAGCTGCTGTAGTTTCAGAGGATTAAGGGAAGCCAAGTCAGTTTTGGGGATGACATTCGCTTCAGAGATAATGGCAGCCCAGTGTACACACATGGGATTTAAAAAAACCCAGCAGTACGTGCAGAGCTGACGGCAAAATATTCCCATACAAAAAGCCCTTTCCCACAGTTCACAGCCTCCCTTTCACGCCAAGAGAGGTTGCGCTCCTCTTCACACTGGCCTTTAACCCCCCAGCTCGTCCCTTCTCCCAGCACAGCAGGTCTTGGACAGGACTTCACAGCCTACCCCTCGCTAGCAGGCTGCTCGCCTCCTGGGCCGCGCAGGTGCGGTTTCCTCCTCCGCCCAGCACAGCTGGCTCCCCTGGAAGGCTCTCGGCCCCTGCACAGACACCCACACATCTGCCTCTAAAATTCCTGAGGAGTCCCACAGGAGGCCAAATTTCTCTGTCTACTCCACTTCCCTCCTCTTAATCATGCACTCCACCTAAAAGGTCTTTTTCCAAATGAGTAATCTTCAGGCTGCTGCAATCAGGACAAGATCTCCCTTTACAACAGCATTAGCATATGACTATTTAAAACCTCCCAGGGTTAGCTCTGCAGTGCTTTCCGAAGAGTGGTGTTGAGGTAAACAGGTACTTGGCTTCCTCCTTCACAAGTTCTCTGTAGTTGAAGAGCAACATAGAGGAATGACTCATCCAAATCTTCCTGTAGTTGCTTACAAGTTACTGCTTTGCAAATACTGTATGAAGAGAACACAGTCAAATTATTTTGACATTAGCAGAAAGTTTTAATGACACTCAGTATTTCTAGAACAAAGGTTCCTCTTCCTCAGGAAAAGGCGCCTCTAAGGCCTTGTCAGAGCAAAGCCCTTCAGTAGGAGTGCTTCAATATTTATTTCTGCTGTGAATGTCTCGGATTAGTGAAGAGCTTGAAACTGATGATTTTTAAAACATGGAGGAAGGTTGTGCTCAGGTAGGAGCACGTTAAGTGATACCTGCAAGCCAGTACCTTCTTCCAAAGCCTGCTGCTGCCTTTCAGGCTGCTCCTCACGCTGTACATCACATCTAGCTGTCACTTGAAGTCCAGTCTAGATCAGTTCTGCACTCAGTAACTACAGATGGCTTGTTTTCCCATTGAAACTACATATAATTGCCACAGTGGTGTGTTTTTCTACAGCCCGAAGAGATGCAAAATGTGTAATTCGCTCCTGGGCAGTCAATACCGCTTCAAAAATAACAGCGTAACACGCGCCCTCCAAGCCATCACGTGTTCCAGGGCATGGGATGCCTAAAGACTTCTCAAGGGACTTTTGTTCCGTGCTGTTTCAATATGCCAGCCAGGGGCCAGCTGACTAGACATGAAATAAGGATGTGGATGCTCTCAAGTATTTTGGTATCTTCACCAGGAAAAAGGCTGGGAGCTAATCCCTAGAATACACTAGATGAAAAACTCATTAGAGAAAACACAATTCACGTGTTCATAGAAGGATTTCAAAATTTAATAAGTTGACACAGTGAACAATTCAAGAATCTTTAAAATGTGAGAGTTAAGAAACAAAGTTTAGGTCACATATTTAGAAAAAGACATTTCTTGTACAACAAAGAGATAAAAGCAAAAACATTTGCTCTGGTAAAAAACTAGCAATGCTGGTCCCTGCTTGAAGTGAGAATGCTGTAACAGAACTTTTTAAAAAGAAGCACCTGGAATTACATGACCAGTTTTGGACTGCTCACACCGTAATTACTTCTCATAGCAGCCTACCGAGTTGCTCTACAGCAAACAAGTCAGGAAGAGTCCAGTCCAGTGATAAAGTCAACGCAGTTGTCTTCTATAGGCAGAGTTCAGAGCCTCAAGTGTAAGTAAGCAAAGCAGCTTGATATTTGCTCACCTTCCTTCTCCTAGCAAGAAGCAGCCATTAACGCCACAAAACAAAGAAAATTGTCATGATACTCCGAACAAAGTCACAGTAATAGGAAAAAGAAAGCAAAATACATTCTAAGGAAGATTCATTCAAGCTAAGTATCACTTTTTTTCCAACCAAAGGAGATTCCAGTGGTGGAGGAACAGAGTCAGGCCACCGGATCAGGCTGACAGTGCCCCCTCACTGCAAGACTGACATTTGCTATCTGCAGCAAATGCCCTATGACAGCACATGTGGGTAACAAACAGAAAACAATGTCAGGCTCCTCCGCCACTGGACAGAACTTCAAGCAGAGCTTTTGCGTCCATTAACAGTCACCCGTTACTCTGCAGGTACCTATCCAGGAACTGGGAATAGCAGTCTAGAGAACAGAAGTAGCAGATGATGGGTGCTTCCGTACCTCCCATGTTATCCACGAGGACCACGGTGTGAGCTACGTGATGGAGATTCATGGTCACCGTGATCTGAATGAAGCTGCTCAGACAGGCACTTCCGCACTGGCATGTTTTAGCCACTTCCAGATCTTCACAAAGGTGAGAAGGAAGGAGATGACAACCATAAGGGATTCTGTTGAACAAGAGGAGTAAGTGTGAATTCACTACAAAATTAACCAATGTCACTCAAACACAGTGACACCCCACACGCACCAGTTGGAAGAAACGCCTTTCTGAGATCATAGACAAGGCAAATCTGAAATTTTGCCCCTTGTGATATTGGACTGGTTAGCAAGTAAATGCCACTTTCCAAGAGTCACTAAAAACATGCAACCATGTTACTGACCCCTAAGTAGCAAGGGCCTGAACTCCAGAAATCACTGCAACAAATAACAAATCGTAACAGCCGGTATCACAGCAACAGAGAATTAGAGATAGAGAATTGAAAAGAAGATTAAGAATAATGAGACAACTGGGCACACATCTTCCCTCATATTAGCCAGGAAGATCACTGTATTTCATCCTGGCCTGATAAGGCACACACAATTTACTCCTCACTCTCTAACACGAAGAAGTGGTAGTAGCGTAAAAACACCGTATCCAGAGGAAATGGGAGATAAAATGAGCCTTTTTACAGTAGGACGACATTGCAGACAATAAATTAAGGTCTTCTTGATATACTGCTCTTTTTGTCCATCATGTCAATAGCGACATTCAGTGACAGGAACAAGAATTGCTTCTTTTTAAATTTGCAGTAGAGTAGTATTATGTTTAGGGTACAAAATAAATAATTTCCCTGAAGTACTGTCGAGTTAACTTCAAAGTGTGGGCACCACCAGCGCCCAACTGTCACTTGAGACTCACAGAATAGGTCTCACTGACTCACATCCCGACTACACCTACATATTCCCAATTCTTTCTACATACCATCATTCACATAGCTAAGACTCCTGTGGGTTTTTTTTCTACCACCTCAATTTCGGGACATCCTTTTTTCCGGTCAGGACAAGCATAATCACAGCTCTGGTACTTTCCCAGCATGCCACTATGAAGATTGATTTCCAAACACTTGCTTTCGTGTCTTCCCTCCTTCTGTTTACTTCCTTTCTCAAGGTTTTTACAGTCCATCATCACTCCTGTTTCTCATTCTTTGTTAATTCTCACCTCCAGTGAATGTCAGACAGAATGTCTGTTGCCCACTTGTTAGACTTTTTCTTTTCCATTTAAGATAATCAGGACCACTCTGACCAACGCTGTCTCCTAATAATCACAGACCTGTGGGCAAGGGGACTGTTTGCCCCTTGTCTCACCGAGACTCCTGGAGCAGAAAGCCTTTTTTGTTCTGTTTGATGCCGTTTTTTTTTAAAGCTTGTTGCATGGGGGCCAGCGGCTGGGTTAATGACTAGGTATCCGTAGGTACTCCGGTAACGTAACTAAGTACAAAATCTGACCAGTGTTGAGGGATTATATTCTCTAGGAAAAAAGCACGCCTTCATAATATTTATATAAAAACCACTGCAATTTATATAAAGTTGGGAAAGGAGACACGTGGAGCTTAATTACTCTAATACAATCAGCAAGGTCAGAAGTGGATAAGATTTGAACCAGAACATTTGGTTGCTCAGCTCATTTCCAGGGTGTGCCCCACATGCCTGTGGACACCTTTAGCACACACTTCTGAGCAATTAACCCAGGTTTATGGGGCGCTCCCCACCCCCAAGGCAGGAATGGGCACAGAATGTAGATTAGGAACACTGTCTCTCACCCCCTTTCTGTACCCGTGACTCTTTTCCACCTTCCTGCTCCCTTTGCACCCAGAACAGGGTGGGAGTAGCAGCAGCTGGTACGGGAGGGATCACAGGCAGCGGCATGCAGGCAGAGCCATGTAAGCGGTGTGGGGGAAGGGGAGAAAACTGACAAACAGCGGCCTGGCAAGGACGATGTTTACTTGGTGAAAGAATAATTTTAAAATTACCTCAGAACTGGGCTTTTCCGCATAGGACAGAACACCCTCACTCCAACACCAAAGGAAATTAAGAGCTCAAGGAAAACCTAAGGCAGGGAGAAGCCTCCCGCAGGTAATGCCAACTGCGGTGTGACACTGGCCCTCTGAGAAACCACCTCTGAGAAGCCCTTCTAACACTGCTCAGCTGGTGTAAGGTCCCATCTCAAGCAGAGGCAGACGAATCCATGTCTGTAACCAGGAGCTGTATGGTAGAAGCTAACCTTTTGCCAACACACTATTCTCACACGGGAAGGGATGGCGACAGGCTAATGGGTGTAACACACAGTTTTAGTGTACTTTAACGTGAGCACAAGATGAAGGGCAACCACGTTTGAAAGCAATTGCCACGCTAGAGCCCAACACAAAATATGATCCGTGCCACAAAATCCACTGTAATGTAAGCTCCTGAATATGAAATGCCGGAAGTGGTTCAGTGATTCTCTTTTCCCATGGCGGGGCAGGAATATTCTGTTTCAGTGCCCCCATTTTGTGGACAAAAACATTTCAACCTATAGCTTTCTCTAAATGCTTCCAAGTCACCAATTTACTGAGTTATCCTGTATAACAAAGGGATGATTTTACAAGTGGAATCCAAAGCAACTTTAACCTTGTGATTTTTAATAGGTGAAGAGCAATAGCCACTGGCAGGAAAAAAAAACAAGTCAGGAAGGTTTAGACTCCACAGGTTTGAAAGGGAGTAGGTGCAATGTGTACTCATCATGCTACTCTTACCTGTAATTTATGGTTGCTCTTGCAGCACACTCTAATAAAGTCAATGGTATTTTCAGTTGTATGTTGGGAACAAGCGGATTAGGCTGTTCAAAAGGATTTCCAAAGAGATCCAAGTTCTCAAGACAGAGTTTCCTAAAATCACTGGGCAAGAAAGGAAGTTTGTTTCGAGCTGCTGACAGAAAGCGTAGATGATCTAACTGGCCAATCTTGAATGGCAACCTAATCAACTCATTGTCATCGAGCTTTAAATTAACAAGTTCTCGCAGCTGGCAAAACTGAATTGGAAGCGCTTTAATTTTGTTTTGGCTGAGGTCCAAGAACTGAAGAGATTTCTGAAGGGTGGAGTTGCACAGAGCCCCACTGAACGACTCCAGGTGATTGTCGTGCAAATTAAGCTCCTGAAGGCAGATCAGGTCACCAATAGTAGCTGGCAGCTGCTTAATATGATTATGACTTAAGTCTAGTTTTCGGAGTTTCTTCAAACAAAGCACACGCATGTCAATCCGAGCAAGTTTGCAGTACGAGGCTTGGAGATGTTCGAGGGAGTAAGGAAAGTTTTTGGTGAGAGGATAGTCCCTTCTTGAAGTTATGATCATTTTTGTCTTAGGTTTTTCAACTTCTGAGGTCTTTGCTGGTACCAAAGCTGAGAGCGGGAGAGCTCCTATGTCGGTCCCTTGGTGAGCCAGTCTCACAGCTGAAAGGAAATTCTTTAAATTGCTAGCATTTGCCTACAAGAAAACACAAATGTGGAATTAAAAGTTCATTATTCTTGTGCTCATTTGTACTAACACTTTCTGAACTATTTTGTACATGTATTAGGACATACTAACTCAGCAGGGCAATGAAATGGGAAAGGGGAACAACTCCGGCTTATTAGGTTGATGTACTGTTTACAGTATTTAAGAACTAATGGCATGCAATTTGAATGAGAAGTTACGACCTCTCTGAATAATCTAGATCAAACAAACTGCGTTGCATTACTCAGAAAAGAAACAAAGCACTGAAATCACAGCTGAAAATAAAGTACAGAAAAAAAGCCTGATGCACGGTGATCTTCCTAACCTGATAAAGGGACAGTTTATAAGAACACACAAGGGGAAATCAGAGATCTAAAACTCGAGGCAATAATTTCTGAAAGTTGCGAGGAAGGAAAAGGATGGAAGCTGATGTTAAATTTAACATAAAGGAAGGTGGAAAGCTTCAAGGCAGGTTAAGTGCTTCTGGTCACACACAGCGCTCTTTTGTTGTGCCGGCATCAAACAAGAGGATAATTATTTGCAGTCTTTCTGCAAACAACTGACTAATTTTGCTTTAGGTGGGATAGAATACAATGGCAGTAAAGACAGAGTCAAATTAATGAAGTATCAGATGACCTGTATTTCAAATAAAGGTCAAGAAAGCTGATACATTTGTTGCACTGATATAATTAAGTTTCATGAACAACAGGGTGACCAAATGTTTCTGTTCTAAATTTCCCAGCAAGACTCTACTCAAGCTGACGTGCAGCTGACAGACGCTAAGCTATAAAGTGAATTATAAAATAAAAAGCACAATGCATCCATACAAGTAAGTCATCTCTTATTGCAGGAAAGAAAAATTTGGAGTTTTCGCATGGCTCAGAGTTGAGAGGTTTGCACTCTGTTCCCAGCTGTAACTTGCCCAAGCCTAGCGACACCCATTTCTGCACCTGAAAGACAATTTTGCTCCTAAATGTATTTGTTTATACCAAATTCTAGAGTGTCCAGAACTACCTTACATAATATGCTATAAGCATCTAGCACAACAGAGCGATGATCTTGGAGACTTCTGGATGCTAATGTGATATAAATAAAGACAATAAAGGTCAAACATATTTGACTGCATCAGTAACCTAAAATGATTGTCCTCCTTAAGCATCCCATACACATCTATCCTTTCAACTCCTGATGTGTTACTTTCCAGACATGGGGAAGTTGCATGCCAAAAACCTTTGTATCCAAGACCACCAACATTCATTATCTCCACCAATCTAACTAAAACACTTAGCTATGTGACTCCCCATAACTACAGGCAGATTTGTCATGTTCCCGAGGGTAATAAATAGCTAACTAAATTTGGAAGTAAGGAGAAAAGGTCCTCCAGGTCTGTAAGGACCAAGTAAAATGCATAACTATACATTAGAATTGAGTTACAGGCAATATTTCTTTGATGTCAAAGCACGAGATGCAACAGATACCTGTTTCTTGTAGCCAAAAGCTCTAGGTTGTTAAGAACAAGTTTATGGGCTCTTCACGTGACTTCAAAATAAGAGTACTTTGTGTTCTGGATCCTTGAGACAAATTTCCTCCACAATACCTTCGTAAAGGCAATGTAGTATCTGTAAACCTTGTTGTTGAGAAACCTTGAGTATGTTGAGAAAAATACTAAGACACATCTAAGAAAAAAAGCAAAAAACTAGTTGCAAGAGCTCAGGACACAATTTTTTGCCCCAAGTCTGAAGTCTCAACCACAGAAAAGATGTCGGGAAAAGATGTTAATCTGCGTTGATGCCCTACAAATCCCTAGTTTCAGAACTAAATGAATGATGACAAGGCAATCGGAGATTACATGGATTTCAGACCTTGCATGCAATGCAGCAGGCACAGGCTTGCTGAAGGAAAAAAATAACCCACAGTGACTTTATTATTTTTGCTCCAGGGTTGAATGCTCCAGATCGACGTTTCTCAACTTAATTTCTGATGTGGTTGAATGCAGCAAATTGCACCGCCTGGCAAAGTACAAAGAGTGGGGTTTTGCATAGTAGTTGCACGCAATCGGTATAGTCACACAAAGCTTTTGTCCACCTTTGAGAGCTAAGAAGCCTTTCTGTAATGAAATTATGAAAGGCTAGCAGAAACACTACAGAAAAGTTATCAATCGTCTTAAATTGGGTTTCCGGATTTGGAGCATTTAAGAGGAATATATAGTATCACTGGCTTTGGAAGAATTTAGTGGATTTGTTGCTGGAGCTTGACACTATGAGGGCGAGCCTTATGCTAAAAAAGGGGAGCGAGGATCTAGCCTCCTTGGAGCAACTCTGGTCATTGTTCTAACTCCTGTTTCATTAGATTTGGTTGAGACTTTCTTTTCAGTCTAACAACATTGTGGACTATCTTTTCATATAGAAAACAACAGATGTACTTCTTAACTAAATTACTACCCACACTGAAAGAATGGCTGTCACACAGTTTCCTTACAGGCCCTAAAAGTGGTCTAAATCAGATCTTGTAGCCCTAAGACACAGACCTTTGCTCTCCAGTTTTATACTACTAGTAGATCCTCTTACAACAGGCCTGCTTTTGTTTCGAGATAAAACTTTCTGACTTCTCACACATCAGCAGAAATGTTCAGAGTAAAGGATGTAGAACAAGAAGTTATTCTGGATCTAATGCAACACGCATGAGTTTTCTTTTTTGCAAGACACATAGCACATTCTGACAAAAAAACCTTAATTTAATTGGATTTGGACACACACTGCTTCTTTTCTATTTAACCCTGTAAGGCGAACTGCTCTCTGCTTCCCCTACCACCACAGCCTTCACTCTTGCACAGACAAGGTACTTCCAGATGACCATAGCCCTGTGTCACATTCTGCAAAATCTTGGGCTACCACAACTATATTCAGGCTTATATTCAGTTATTGGTCTTATTCCCAATAAAACACGTGCTTTTTCTTTCTTGCTGGGTCATATTTGTTTTCTCTTCAGTAAGTCACTGTCCCGAGTACAGATTCATTCGCCTTGTTTCTCAAGCAGACCTCGCAGCCTGCCAGACCACTCTGGCAAGACTGCTGGCAGTGCCTGTTGCAGCTGCAGTTTAAACACACCCTGTGCACTTCTCCTTAGGCAGGCCCTTTGAGAAAGCATTCTGCTTGTGAAGGAGTAAGTTCACCACTCATGATTACAGCTGCTCAGTCTGAGATCGCTGAAATTACTAAAGGATCTCCTTCGAGCCAAAGAATCAGAGTTGCATCAGAAAGTCAAAGTGATTATCCAAACAAAAAATCAGTATAATTTGCTTTTATTTACTCATTCTAAGTCTACGGTTTTAGAAAAGTTGTCCCGCTTTCCTCTTCTACAAGGCTACAAAAAATTAGTGGAACAGGCACAGAAAAAAACAACACAAAAATTGAACGCTAATGTGTGATTTTTTTGGGTGAGTTTAGCATTATTAAAAACACTTTACAGCTTCCAAATATTCTATGAACTGTAAATTAATACATTGGTAAGTTCTACTATCAGCTAGGCATTAAGGCAAGGTGGTGACTGTACCGCTGATCCATACCAGCTTTGAAAAGCACAGCAGGCACACTGCTTATCCACTAGGACATGAATATTTTCCAGATTTTAGTTAGAAAGACTATAAGCAATGACCTGCTTGATAGAAATCATGGCCAAAGAGCATGGGGGGACATGGAGGACCTGAGGGAACGGCGGGTGTGAGGGGACATGGAGGAGCTGAGGGAACATTGTATCAGAGAGATGAAAAACCTGTTGCTTTCTAAATAAAAGGTGAAGAACTACAGGTAAAATGGACTTTTCTTCTCCTGCTGTTTTTCCAGAGGGAGCAGAAGAAGGGATAATCAGAAGGCAGCCCAGCAAAGAAGCTGGGCCCAGCCTTCTCAGCACAAAATGAGCAGGCTTCCTTTTTGCTGTAGCCTGTTGAGAACATACAAACCCAAGCTCCTTCATGTTGCCTCGCTTACATCTCCTATGCCAGTCAAAGACGACTGTTAAGACAAGACTTAGTTGCAGTCTGACATTTTTCACACGGACCCCAAGCAGACAGCCCGGGGACCCCCCGGGGCCCGTCCAGCTCCCCGGCGAGCCCCCTGCCGCCTCCACACGCCGCTCGGTTTCGAGCACGGGCAGAGCACCGAGACCTCGGCGATGTCCCGCGGCCCTCGCACCCACCTTACTGAGGCAGACGTCCACGGCGGGCTCCCGGAGGCGCACGGTGGCCTTG